ATGCGTTAACCCTTTCTGTGGAAACCGATGGAACAGGGTTACAATGGTGGCGCTTAACAGTGCCAGTGATGTATTAGTTTCTGATTACCAGGCACATATTAATGGAGTGCTTAGAGAGAGTCCACAGTTCTGGACCTATGGAGGGCTCTGCCATTTGCACAGTGCACGAGAATCTGGAAAGTTCCACTATCAGAGTCCAATGCCTGAAGGTCACGTTCCAGGATATATTAATTGGCATATTCACAAAGTAAGTCTTCAGAGACTGGGTCACACCAGCACTCTACAGTATCAGGGCATCAGAACTTGGACAGGAAAATAAACATTCCCTCTTGTCGCCTATAAAACAGAAAGGGGCGGAGTTCTGTAGTACTAAAATATAGCTGAGGACAATGTAACTGATAAGCATGTGGCACAGCAGAGAACAGAAAGTTATCAGCTGACAAGATCTCCTACAGGATTGTGGGTTTTTGCACTTATTAAATGGATATAACAAAATGCTTTCAATGGTATATTTAATAAATCAAAAGGGACCAATCAGGAGTTTATTTTTAGTAGGGAAGCACCGAAATATCGGCCGCTGAAACATATCGGCCGAAAATGGCACTTTTGGCTTAATGCATCCCTGCTTTCTTTCCTCCCTGCTGTGCGCTGCTCTGTGTCCCAGCGGGGAAGAAAGAAAGTGACAGCCGGCCGAGCGCTGCGGGACGAGAGCGATGTGAGCGGCCTGTGTCTCTCCTCCCACACCGCTCGGCCGCCTATCACAGTCTGGCAGAGCGATGTGGGGGCGTAGACATCGCTGTTACAGGAGGCTGAGTTCTCCTTCTTGCACCGCTCACTCAGACTCCTGTGACAGCGTGTCAGAGAGGAGAGCCAATGCAAACACTCAGCGATCAGTGATCGCTGAGTGTTTGTAGATAAATGAGGATATGGTATGTGGACTGTATCCTCAATTATGAATGAATGGGAAGTGATCTGCATCATTTAGGGTTTACATACACTTTAGGTACTTGGTCGCACGTTTTTGTTGATTGCTGTCCTGCAGAAAAGTAAGTGCGCAAGCAAGCCTTTCTCTTTCACAGTATCCATTTATCACATTTCAGGATAGTAAGCACATCCAAATGAAATTTGGCAAATTCGGCAACAGTACATAATCTGGATGAATACTTTGCTGATCCCTTTTTCAGTTTTTGGTACATTTTCACTCTATAGATCGGGAAGAAACGCAGGAAAGGCTTTAATATATAATGTCCCTGTACAAAATGTCAGTGTTTACCGTACCACCTTTCATGAGTTTGCTTATCTCATAGACCCCATGACATGTATACGTATATGCATACAGCCTTTGCTTGTGCAAAACTGGTTTATAAACAATCTATTGTGGTTTATAAATAACTACAATACTTATCAAACCTGTTTTGTAAATATATTTCTATTTTCAAAAACATCACATTAATATTTGGACTTCACTTTAAAACAGGGGTGGGCAACTCCGGCCCTTCAGCTGAGCTTTAACTACAAATCCCAACATACCTCTGCCTCTGGGAGACATGCCTGTAAATTTCAAGGTGCCCATACACCTGCCGATTATCGCTCGATAATCGCGGGTGATCCCGCGATCGTACGATAGTCGGAAGGTGTATGTGCAGCGTGTGACCCCATTTACTGTATGGTCGCACAACTTTTGTCTTACAAACACGCTAGAAAACCCTCCGAAAATCGTACGATTTTCGTCGGGTTGGTAGCGTGATCGCAAGACGAAAGCGCAAACTGCCCGCTCACTATTGCAATCATCAGCAAGCCCTGCCCTCAGCGGGGAGGGCTTGCGATGATCGCATGTACAATCTGCCTGTCCAAGATGGGCAGGTCGTACGAAGTTTGAATCACCTTACAACCATCGCACAACGAATGTCGTGCGATGGTTGTAAGGTGTATGGGCAGCTTTAGTCTTGCAATGCCTTGTGGGACTTGTAGTTCCACAACAGCTGGATGGTCAGAGTTGCCCACCACTGCTTTAAAGGGTTTAAGTACCCTTGGATCCTTACCTGAATCAAAGGGTTACATGTAACACTGGGTAGACCCTATGTGTTAGCAAACATATGACCCCTTACAGAACCTCTGAAACAATAACACTTTCCTGTACTTGATTAAATGGATGTCATTCCAATAGAAAAGCAACGTGAATAAATAGGATTGTAGTGCTTGCTATGGAGGAAGGTTCCCAGGGAGACACTCAAACAAGCCACCAGTGCTTTGACACAGCAAACACTAATGTCTGTTTCTACCAACAATGGATTTGTAATCCCAAACAATGTTACTATTCCTTCCAGTGATTTATGAAGTTTGCTTGCACAATTTTTACTTTGGTACTACTAGCAGTTTAGTATGATATGGCCTTTATGATCAGATGACTGAATACATTTTTAAACTTAATGGTATGAAAAAAAGAGAAACGAAAAATGGTGGTATATTTATACAACAGTGAATGTGCCTTTCACCAAACATTCATTGGTGGTGAATCGATCACTGCCATTTAAGGGCTCGATCACATGTCTGCGCTTGGGCTGTGCTGGACGTTTTTCCCAGCAGAGGCCGAGCGCAAGACAATTTGTCTTGTCATGGGTGGTGACAGTTCACACCACTGCGTTCTGATGGCGTGTTCATAAAAAAGTACGACATGCAATACTTTATTTTAAGTGCGCCGCCGTAAGATGCAGTACAACCAACCAGGAGGAGCTGGAACAAAAAAAAAAAAAAACAGCAGATAGCAAGGGAAGCATTAGCACCTCCCTGAAATGACTTTTTTCGGGTTGGGATCCCTGGGACCCCCTATGCTACCCCACATTTCTCCGGTTTGACGTTTGGTATCTATTTACCTGACACAACCTCATCTTTTTCTTTTTACAAATAAATGGGTTATTATATTGCGTTTGTGAGCATTACATTTAAAAGAGAACTATGAGACGAATGATTTCCACTCACCTCATAGTTCTAGCCGACCTGTGACAATGAGACTGTCACAGGTCAGACACAGCTGGCCGTTGTAAAAAAACGGCCGGCCGGGAGCTCTCTAGATCTGAGCGGCATCTTTAGATATCCGCTCGGCAACGCCCATTCGTGCGCGCCGCAGGGCAACACCGACAATTTAAAAACAGGCACCAATGCCTGTTAACATACAAGCGATCCGCCAGCTATAGAAATGGTGGATCGCTTGTATGAGCTGCTGGCCCGTGTCCCCCCCTCCCTCCGCGGCCCCCCCTACCGTTGTCACGCAGGTCCCGAGCTCCGCTGTGGCCGGTGCGAGCCCGGGACCAGCATAGTACCTCTGTCACAGGGGATCAGAGGGGGATAGGTACACAATCTCCCTCCTGTCCCCTCTCCGCTGCCAGAATGCGGAAGTGATGTAGCTTCAGACGCTGGAGAGAAGCTGATGAAGCAGATCTCTGCTTCATCAGCTTCTTCAGGGGGGTCCTAGGTGACATTAGGGGTCTTGGAGACCCCTGATGTCTCCATAAAGAGGACCTGTCACATCATTTTGCTATCACATAGGGGGATTTCTTAGCCCCCATATGTGATAGCAATAAAGTTAAGTGGGGAAAAAAAAATAGGAAAAAAAATTAAAGTTTCCCCACCAAAAATGTAAAGTTACACATAAAAAATAATTAAAAAAAACTAATTTTTTTAAAGCCCCCACCCATACATACACGCATGCAAACATGCGTCGCGCGCGCATACCTGCGAAAACAGCGATTGCGCCCATTACGCCGCACATGTTGCATATCACCGCGAACGCCGCAGTGAGAGCAATAATTTTAGGGCCATTAATCACTGATAACACTAAACTGATGAGCTGTAAAAGCTTTTAAAGAGTTGCCTATGGTCCATTTTGGGTATGGTAGTTTTTTGCGATTTTGCGGGTGCGCGCAATTTTAGAGCTTGACATGTTTGGTCTCTATTTACCCGACGTGACCCCATCTTTTATATTTTACCCAACAAATTGTGTAATAATAAATGTTTCCTAACATAACGTCACCTTAGGCTCAGTATACCGCGAGCTGCTGCTCGCGGTATACTGAGACGCCGCAGCCGGAGCAGATCCCGACTTAGACGTAGGGATCCGCCCAGCTGCGTGAGTGACAGCTGGATCTGCCTATCTAAAGGCAGAGCCAGCTGTACCCGCCCCCTCACCCGTCCGTTCCACCAGTCAGCGCTGGCGGATCGGGGGGAATCCAGCCCCTCCCCCTGTCACGGCAGAGAGCTGTGACAGGATCGAGAGGTGAGCGAACGCCGGTATGTGTTCGCTCACCTCCCGATCTACTGAGCCGACCTGTGACAGTCTTATTGTCACAGGTCAGCTAGAACTATGAGGTGAGTGGAAATCACTCATCTCATAGTTCTCCTTTAATGTAATTTTTAATACAAATATCAATTTGATAAGCATTGTGCAACATAAAAAATTGCAGCTAGCATTTTGTACTCTACATGGCCTCTGCTTTCAGATAATATATAATTGTTTGAGGGGTTTAACCTCTTGCCGTCCGCCCGTAGTAAAAAAACGGACGGACGGCACTGCAGCATCTGCATTAGCCAAAAATTAAGATTTTAACGTGCAAAAATCAAAACATTGCTCCATACGGCAAGTGGTTAAAGAATTCTCAGTCCTTTTAGACTATGGAGGCGTAAAGTACAATTGGACACATATGAGCCCATACCATTGCAATAAGTAACAGGAAAGCACAAGTATTTTCTCAGTTGGGGACACTGCTCCAGCAGCAGCACAGTGGAAGTGGCAGGCCAGGCATTGCTCTTACTACGGGAAAACTAACAACACATCGCGCACAGCATCCTGGGAGAACACACACACTCGCAGGAGACACATGACATGTAAGTATTGTACACTAATATGGGTGATGGCCTGATAACAAGTTACTGCTGACACGTGACATGAAATGACACACCCCCTTTCTGCCTCAGCTTCCCCCCCGCCTCCCTATGTCTCGTCACAGGACAGTGAGGAGGACAAGGGGATGTCACGTGACGAGCGAGGGGCGCTTTGGGCGTGGCCCCCTGCGCGTCCGTGGCAACCGGCGGTAGGCGGGGCTGCCAGTGTTCTCCAGCAGCCGGTGAGTGCGCGCGCAAGGTGGTCGGTGAGTGGTCGCTCGAGGGAAGATGGACGATTTTCAGACGGCGGAAGAGGTGAGGGGTCCCGGGAGAGGGGGTGTGTGGTCTGGACTTGTTTGGGGGGAGAGAGGCATGTAAGGCACCGTCCATAACTTCTCGTTCATGTGTCACACTGGCCTGTATGTGTGACCCCCCTGACTGGAGAGATGACAGAATCTTCTTCAGCTATTGTCACCTGCGCGTCCGTGGCAACCGGCGGTAGGCGGGGCTGCCAGTGTTCTCGAGCTGCCGGTGAGTGCGCGCGCAAGGTGGTCGGTGAGTGGTCGCTCGAGGGAAGATGGACGATTTTCAGACGGCGGAAGAGGTGAGGGGTCCCGGGAGAGGGGGTGTGTGGTCTGGACTTGTTTGGGGGGAGAGAGGCATGTAAGGCACCGTCCATAACTTCTCGTTCATGTGTCACACTGGCCTGTATGTGTGACCCCCCTGACTGGAGAGATGACAGAATCTTCTTCAGCTATTGTCTCTCAGATCGTTATACTTGTGGCACCGTCAGGTCACATTGCCGCAGGATGTGGCACTGCCCTGTAGCAGCTGGCACTGCAGAAAATATTTATGTGTAGCCTGTTCCTCCGCTGATTAATGATACCTGGAACAAAGCCACACAGCAGTGGTGCCCAACTTGACGATTATGGAGGGCTTCAAGTTTAACCCCTTATACTTCCAGGGGGCCGCATAATAGCAGCGCGTTGTGTTGGACAGCCCATTTCAATTAAATGAGCTGCAACACACCTCAATACTTGAAAATGTCTGTGTTCATACAGTGGCCGCAATAATAACCCCCATCATTGGAGTCAGTGGCCCCACTATTATTATTGCGGCCACTGACTCCAACGCTGGGGGCAAACATTGGTGTCAGTGTCCACAATAAAAAACCCCAGCTTTGGAGTCAGTGGCTGTAATAATAACCCCAACCATTGGAGGCAGTGGCTGCATTATTATTATTGTGGTTACTGAC